TCAGAATATCTTTCCTTTTGTAGAAGGAGAATTTAAACTTTACAACATAATTGTCAAGGAATACAATGACACCAAATATCTGGACTACACATCTCAGTCCTCCATTGAACATATTTGAGGTAAACACATAATATTTTCATGAGATATATTATCTTAGATTTAAAGCTAAGAATTTATATGTGAGAATAATAATTTATTTGCCACTAAATTGCTTTCAACAATAGTACTCAACAAACTGATGCAGTAATAATATTTTTTCTAATAGATTGTATGCATGCCTTGCAAAATCTGCCTCATTAATTAAATCAAGCCGCTACCTCAGCCCACTAAAGCGCTCAGCGACTCCAAATCGCCATCGGAATCGATCCTCCCACAAATCATCCGGCAAATTACACCGCCTGATCTCCCCCTCCACTCCCTCACGCCAACCTTTTAATAGACGTCCACGTCGCCTATATCGATTATGTAGCCTTGATGTTAGTGTCTCCAAAACTAAAAATTGGTTATTAGTGATGATCAGCGAGGTATAGAGTTGGAGGATGGCCGGTACATCAACGGATGTGAAGAGTATAAATACCTTGGAGTATGGCTGACCCAAGATGGGAAGTTTGGTCCGGCCATCAGAGAATGAAATTTGCAAGGAAGAAAGCCATCGCGATGTTAAACGGGGTTCTCTGGGATCAGAGAATCTCGAAGGAAAATAAACGGAATTTCATGAAATTTCACTTTCCATCTCTGATCGTCTCATTTTAAATCTGTTTCATTTTTTACAGGTATAAAATTGTGGTACTAACAAAAACTTTAAAACACGGACAATGGCAGAAGATGGAGAAAATATTCTTATTGGTAATGTTCTTTCACCACATAACATTTTTCATGTTCCAGCTGATGGAAATTGTCTCTTTAGCTGTTTGTCAATGTGCATTTATGGCGATATATTATTCAATAATCAAATGCGTAAAATTATAGTTGATCACGTCATCAGTGCATGGCAAAGGTTACACTCTTACACATTTACATCAACTGGTGAAACATATACTTCACCTAATGAATATGCTTCAGAAATGTCAAAAGATGGCATTTACGGTACAACGTGTGAGTTAATTGCTGCAAGTGAAATATTTGATCACCAATTTCAAATTTTTAGAAATGGTAATATTATTGCTCAATTCGGTGCCTTAAACGATAGTTTCTCAAGGTTAAAGTTATCCGGAGAAATATCAAATGGACATTTTGACGTGTTAATACCTGTTTCTCGTGGATTATCAATATCTAATTTTACTTTTTCTGAAAATTTGGTCCCTTCTTCAAAATTAAAACGAGTGTATACTAAGCGAAAATCTAATTTGGCTCAAAAGAATATCCGGAAAAAAAATAAAAATCGTATTAGTATATTACGTTCAAAAAAAAAATTGTCCTCAAATAATTGGACTAATAAATTAAACTCAGGTTTCATGTATGACATTCGAATAGATTATCAAAATGACTCGTCTGTTGCTTTAGGTCAAATGAGTCTTGTATGTAAATATTGCAATGCAAAGAGATGGAAGGACGAAGCATCAGGATTGTGTTGTAATAATGGAAGAACTAATTTACCAAAATTACCCACACCACCAGAGCCACTTAATAGTCTTTTGACTGGTCATCATAGTCTATCTAAACATTTTCTAAATAATACTAGAAAATATAATGGTTGTTTCCAAATGACATCATTTTTTGCTAACATAGTAAACGAATCTTTTTGTCGTACAACATTTAAAATACAGGGGCAAGTTTACCACAGTATTGGTAGTCTGTTGCCATCGGTGGGAAAACAACCATCCTTCTTACAAATTTATTTCGTTAAAAATGATGTTATTGAGAGAGATATTAGACTCGATAATTATTCAAGTTTATCACCAGACTTAGTATTAGAGCTCCAAAGAATGCTTCATAATGCAAATGGCTACATCAAAGATTTCTTGAGTGCTTCAGAAATAATGACGAAAAATGATAATGTTCAGTTAGTAATTCATGCGAACAAAAAAGTTAATGATGTCCACAAAGGGAGACTAAATTTGCCAAGAACAAATGAAATTGCTGTATTATTGTCAGGAAATATCGGTGATAAAAGAGATATTGTTATACGACAAAGAGATGAGGGGCTTCAAAGAATCAGCGAAACCCACCGATCTTACGATGCATTGCAATATCCTCTTATTTTCAGTTATGGTGAAAATGGTTATTCAATAGACATCTTACAATACGATCCTGTACAGTCAAAACCAGGGAAAAAAACTGTTTCAGCGTTGAACTTTTATTCATACCGTATTATGGAACGAGTGGGTCTTAATAATCATTTACTACATTTTAGAGAGCTATTTAATCAATTTTTAGTTGATATGTTTGCAAAAATTGAGACAGAGCGATTAAGGTTTATACGATTTAATCAATCAAAATTGCGAGCTGAAAATTATTTGCATTTAAAAGACGCAATCGACAAAAATGATGCAAATCCATCAGAAATTGGGCAGAAGGTTATTTTACCATCTTCATTCACTGGTAGCCCTCGCTACATGCATGAAAAAAGTCAGGATGCAATGACATATGTTCGTCATTATGGCAGACCAGATTTATTTATAACTTTTACTTGTAATCCTAACTGGCCAGAAATTAAAACAAATCTATACGGAGATGAAAAACCATATGATCGCCATGATCTTGTGTCTAGGGTTTTTTATTTAAAAGTTAAAAAATTAAAAAAAATATTAATCCAACATAAACTGTTTGGTGAAGTAAGAGCCTTCATGCTTTCATTTGAGTGGCAAAAGCGTGGGTTACCACATGTTCATATCTTACTATGGTTGTTGAATAAGATTAAACCAAATCAAATTGATGAAATTATTTCTGCTGAGATTCCAAATCATGAAAAAGACCCAAAACTATACGAAATTGTAAAGTCAAATATGATTCATGGGCCTTGCGGGGAGTTGAATTTAAAAAGCCCATGCATGAGTGAAAAAACATGCACTAAAAGATATCCACGTCCATTTCGTGATGAAACACAGTCTGATCATGACGGATATCCTCTGTATCGAAGGAGAAGTGTTGAAAATGGAGGTTTCACCGTTAATATTAACGGTCTAACAGTTGATAATAGGTGGGTTGTTCCATTCTCGCCAGTTCTGTCTCGAACATTTGATGCGCATATTAATGTTGAATTGTGCAGTTCAATTAAATCTATAAAATATGTATGTAAATATATCAATAAAGGTTCTGATTTATCATCATTTTCTCTTAAAAATGAATATGATGAAATACTGATTTATGAAACTGGTAGGTATATCAGTACATCAGAAGCTGTCTGGAGAATCTTAGGATTCAACATACATGAAAGATTTCCTTCAGTGATGCAATTAAGTGTGCATCTTGAAAACGGGCAAAGAGTTTACTTCACTGATGAAAATTTAATGGAAAAACTGAAAAATCCAAAAAATACCACTTTGTTAGCATTTTTTAACCTTTGTAAAAGTGATGATTTTGCTAAAAAGCTCCTATATTGCGAAATTCCATCTTATTATGTTTGGAAAGATAACACATTTATTAGACGCAAAATTGGTGCAAAAGTTTATGGTTTTCCAGATGTTTTTAAAAGTCAAGTCCTTGGTAGAATATATACTATTCACCCAAATAACTCTGAGTGTTATTTCTTGCGATTGTTATTGACCAAAATTAGAGGACCTACGTGCTTTAATGATTTAAAAACAGTAAATAATGAAATTCATCCAACATTCAAATCTGCTTGCCAGTCACTGGGGTTATTAGAAGATGATAATCATTGGAACTTGACATTTGAGGAAAGAGCCATCTCTGACAACCCTTGTAGTTTGAGAGAATTATTTGCAATTATTCTTGTATTTTGTGATGTAGGAGATCCTTTACGTTTGTGGGAAAGGCACAAAGACAAGCTTTTTTCAGATATTAAGTTTACATTGCAACAGAAATTCCTGGAAATGAATGAAACGATTATTCTTGAAAAAGCTCAAAATGAATGTTTACTTTTACTTCAAAAAGTTATTAAGGACTTGTCTGGAAACTCACTCTCGTTTTTCGGTTTACCTGACCCTATATATTTAGAATCTGAACTTGAGCAAAAAAGAAATTATTTTTATGAACGAGAGACTTCTTATGATTATGAATTGGCATCTGCAATAATTAAGACACACGAATCTAAATTAAATGAAGAGCAAGCAATTGTGTTTCATCAAATTACAGATAGCTTATTTAATAATGAAGGTAATATCTTCTTCCTCGATGCGCCTGGTGGAACTGGCAAAACTTTTTTGATAAATCTTTTACTAGCTAAAGTACGAATTTGCGGTAAAATTGCACTTGCTGTTGCTTCTTCTGGAATAGCAGCTACCTTACTGTGGGGTGGAAGAACCGCACATTCAGTGTTCAAATTACCTATAGATATACTTTCCCACGAAAACCCTGTTTGTAACATTTCAAAACAAAGCGATGCAGCCAAAGTTTTACGAGACTGTCAATTTATTGTTTGGGACGAAAGTACAATGTCACATAAAAAATGCGTAGAGGCATTAGACCGTTCTCTCCAAGATATTCGCAATAACAATCTACCAATGGGAGGAATTACAGTTCTATTCTCTGGCGATTTTAGGCAAACACTTCCTGTCATTCCATCAGGAACACCAGCAGACGAAATCAATGCTTGCTTAAAGTCATCTCACCTTTGGAATAAGATGGTAGTTTTACATTTATCCAAAAATATGAGGGTTCATGTAGGGTCTGAAAAAAATATGGAGGAATTTGCTCAAATTTTGTTGGAGATTGGCAACGGCACAAGGTATGAAGTTGACGATAGAATTGTGTTGGATGATAACACGTGTGTAGTTGTTAATCAAATTAATGAATTAATTGCAAAAATTTATCCCAACATGAAAAAAATTCAATCAATTCATTATTCATGGTTTAAAGAAAGAGCAATTTTGTCTGCCAGGAATGAAGACGTTCTTGAAATTAACAACTTATGTTTGAAAAATATTGAATCTCCGGAAAATACTTACTTATCAATTGATTCAACAACTGAGATTGAAAATGCAGTTCACTATCCTGTTGAATTTTTAAACACTTTAAATCCTGCTGGTTGTCCTCCACATACATTGCATTTAAAGGTTGGTGTACCCATTATGCTTTTAAGAAATCTAAAACCTCCAAAATTGTGCAATGGTACCAGATTAATTATTATTGCTTTACATAAGTACTTAATTGAAGCAAAAATAATTACAGGCCCAAATGAAGGAGAAACTGTATTCATTCCCAAAATTCCTATAATTCCATCAAACTTGCCGTTCCAATTTAAGCGTTTTCAATTCCCTGTGAAACTTTGTTTTGCGATCAGCATAAATAAATCACAAGGTCAAACGTTAAAAACAGTTGGTGTAGATCTAAGACATGATTGCTTTTCACATGGACAGGTATACGTAGCTTTTTCAAGAGTTAGTTCTCCAGAAAATTTGTTTGTTCTACAACCAACTTGTAAAACCAAAAATATTGTTTATAAACAAGTTTTATGTTAATTTAATGCAAACAAACTTTCACAGAGAATTGAAAACGCTTCAAATTTGCTTCAACAATTATGAACAACAATAATGAGTTGATTGAATTTTTTTCATGTTGTTTTAAAATCATTGCATAATCAAAAATTTAGTAGAGATCTTCTTGGGACGTAGTAACGATTTTTTGCGATTAAATCATGATTTTGTCATGATACAATCATGATTTTTTTAGAAACTATTTTTTGCTCCTTGAATGATTCTGTTCGAATTTCTTGTCCAGGTGAATCCTGTGATCCTTGTGTTTAGGTACTTCACATTTAAAAGTCCGAAATTATTTTCCGGAATAATTTAATTTTTCCAGATTATAAATTTAAATTGTTATTAAATGATGAAAAATTCAAAATTCCAATTCCAATTTCCAAAATTTCAGAGCATGTTATATCTTCTTTCAAAATTTATTGTCAATTCAAGTTGCTATTCAATTAAAATAGATTACTTAACTACTTTTTTAGGTCTAGCGCAAGATCTCAAAATGTCTGTCACACTCATGATTTTATATTTTTTAAATTTATTCTTTTGTATGATTTTTCATTTAATGTTTTTAGTGTAGAGAAATATCTCAAAATTTGCCTTTTTTATTTATTGAAATTAATAAATACATTTTCTTACAACAGTTTTTTATTTTTTAATTTCAAGACTGCTGGGTCCATAAATTACTACCATATTTATTAAATTGATACTCGCAAACATGTTTTTTGTTTTTGCTGATGGGTACAACAACAGCCCCCATATGTAAAAATATTTTGTAGCTTCGGAATAAAAATATTAAAAAATATAAATATGGGCATAATAGGTATAGTAAAATATATTAATACAAAAGCTATTGTTATAACA